TGACCGGACTCCCTGTCCAGCTGTGCTATAAACACCTGCCTGGTGCCCAGCCTCCTCCTCCCTCACCTCCTGGCCTCAGCCACGAAGAGCAAGAATTTCCAGTGGTGTTTATTCATGATGTCACGAGGCCAGAACATTTTTATCACCCCGAAGGGAAACTCCACGCTCGTTAAAAAGTCTCCTCTAACCCCGCCCCTGTGCCTCTTCTGAGTGTTTCTTATACTCAGTCATTCATGCCTTGGGGTGGTGTCTGCTTCTTTAGCTCAGTTTTTCTTTTTCTTTTTTTAAAGATGTATTTATTTGCTGCATGTATGCCCGCAGGCCAGAAGAGGGCACCAGATCTCATTACAGATGGTTCTGAGCTACCGTGTGGTTGCTGGGAATTGAACTGAGGTTCTCTGGAAGAGCAGCCAGTGCTCTTAACTGCTGAGCCATCTCTCCAGCCCCCTCAGTATGGCATTTTCAAGGTTCACTCGAATTCTATCGTGTTTGTAGCTTTATTCCTTCTTGTGGGTGAGCCATGTTTCCTTAGATGCTCTTACCATGCATTGTTAATGCATCTGTGAACATGTTAGCACTCGATCTGTCTCTGTGTGTGTGTGTGTGTGTGTGCACATGCCCATTCCTCAGCATTCATGTCCAGGTCAGAGGACAATTTAAGAGAGTCAGTTCTCTGCCATGTGAGTGGCAGAGATGGCACTCGCTCTGTCTCTGTGTGTGTGTGTGTGTGTGTGTGTGTGTGTGTGTGTGTGCACATGCCCATTCCTCAGCATTCATGTCCAGGTCAGAGGACAATTTAAGAGAGTCAGTTCTCTGCCATGTGAGTGGCAGAGATGGCACTCGCTCTGTCTCTGTGTGTGTGTGTGTGTGTGTGTGTGTGTGTGTGTGTGTGTGTGCACATGCCCATTCCTCAGCATTCATGTCCAGGTCAGAGGACAATTTAAGAGAGTCAGTTCTCTGCCATGTGAGTGGCAGAGATGGCACTCGCTCTGTCTCTGTGTGTGTGTGTGTGTGTGTGTGTGTGTGTGTGTGTGCACATGCCCATTCCTCAGCATTCATGTCCAGGTCAGAGGACAATTTAAGAGAGTCAGTTCTCTGCCATGTGAGTGGCAGAGATGGCACTCGCTCTGTCTCTGTGTGTGTGTGTGTGTGTGTGTGTGTGTGTGTGTGTGTGTGTGCACATGCCCATTCCTCAGCATTCATGTCCAGGTCAGAGGACAATTTAAGAGAGTCAGTTCTCTGCCATGTGAGTGGCAGAGATGGCACTCGCTCTGTCTCTGTGTGTGTGTGTGTGTGTGTGTGTGTGTGTGTGTGTGTGCACATGCCCATTCCTCAGCATTCATGTCCAGGTCAGAGGACAATTTAAGAGAGTCAGTTCTCTGCCATGTGAGTGGCAGAGATGGCACTCGCTCTGTCTCTGTGTGTGTGTGTGTGTGTGTGTGTGTGTGTGTGTGTGTGTGCACATGCCCATTCCTCAGCATTCATGTCCAGGTCAGAGGACAATTTAAGAGAGTCAGTTCTCTGCCATGTGAGTGGCAGAGATGGCACTCGCTCTGTCTCTGTGTGTGTGTGTGTGTGTGTGTGTGTGTGTGTGTGCACATGCCCATTCCTCAGCATTCATGTCCAGGTCAGAGGACAATTTAAGAGAGTCAGTTCTCTGCCATGTGAGTGGCAGAGATGGCACTCGCTCTGTCTCTGTGTGTGTGTGTGTGTGTGTGTGTGTGTGTGTGTGTGTGTGTGTGTGTGTGTGCACATGCCCATTCCTCAGCATTCATGTCCAGGTCAGAGGACAATTTAAGAGAGTCAGTTCTCTGCCATGTGAGTGGCAGAGATGGCACTCGCTCTGTCTCTGTGTGTGTGTGTGTGTGTGTGTGTGTGTGCACATGCCCATTCCTCAGCATTCATGTCCAGGTCAGAGGACAATTTAAGAGAGTCAGTTCTCTGCCATGTGAGTGGCAGAGATGGCACTTGGCTCATTAGGTTTGGTGCCTTTACCCTTGCTGGTGTTTAGCTATTTTCTGTTTTTGTTTTTTTTTCCGAGACAGGGTTTCTCTGTGGCTTTGGAGGCTGTCCTGGAACTCACTCGGTAGACCAGGCTGGCCTCGAACTCACAGAGATCCGCCTGCCTCTGCCTCCCGAGTGCTGGGATTAAAGGCGTGCGCCACCAACGCCTGGCTTGCTTAGCTATTTTCTAAGTAGCTCGTTTCTGGATGGCCCTGAGCAGGCCGCAGCCTTGGGTGGTTGAGGAGGGGAGGTGTCAGGGAACACACTCCTGACCCTCAGGCAGGCGAGGAGTACAGGACTCACTGTCCTAACCAGGTGAAGTGCAGGGAAAGTTCTGGGAGGGCCGAGCCCGGCAAAGATCTTACGTTGTTCATCAGACCATCCAGTGTTGTTTCAGAAAAGGATCAGGGTGTAACGTGGGGTCCAGGCCTCTTTGCACGCTTGTCAGGAACATGTAGGTAATTAAAACTGAAATCAGCTAAAATAGATTCTTACAGTGCGTCCCTCCTGAACTAGCTCAGTCTCTGGTGCTCAGAGGTCACGTGGATGAATTTTGCTGGTTCCTCAAAAATAAAAATAGAACAGCTCACATCTGTGTGTCCAGAACCGTTGAAAGCAAAGTCTGACTGGGCATGATAATTTATGCCTGTAATCACAGTATTCAGGAGGCTGAGGCAGGGGCATCGGTGGATTTGAAGCCAGACAGTATATAAGATACGGTCCAAGGGAGAGAGAAAGAGAGGGCTAGCCTGAGCTCACAAGACTGCCTGAATACCCATGTTCACACCATAGCTTTCACACCAGCCAACCAGAAGCTGTGACTCAAGTGCCGATGGATAAAAGACTCACTGTGCTGAGCCTGGAGAGATGGCTCAGCAGTTAAGAGCACTGACTGCTCTTCTAGAGGACCCGGGTTCAACACCCATGTCTGGCATCTCACAGCTAAGCTGCCTATAGTTCCAGCTCCAGAGGGGATCTGATGCCCTCCTCTGGCCTCCTTGGGCAGCTGAACTAAGATATATATATGGATATATATATATACATACATACACAGACACACATGCATACATATGATTTAAAAATAATAAAATAATTAAAATCATAAGAATTGAGGTTTTTAAGAAGACTAAATGTGCTCATTAAGGAATATTGTTCGACTTTAAAAGGCACATTCTATAGCAAGGATAAACCTTGAGGACATTATTCTGTATGAAACAGGTCAAAAGTCAGAGATCACCCACCCCTGCTTACCCAAGGATCTTAGACAGAATGAAGGTTGCCAGAAGCTGATAGGAGGCCGGTCAGGGCCACGGGGAGTGGCCTTACAGGATACGACCTGTGCCTCAGAAATGGCTAAGATGGTAAATTGTTTTGGAGGCAGAAGTGGCCAGGACACGTCTGTTGGCATAGGTGATGATACAGAGAGATCTGGGAAGGCCTCTGGTCACTCACAGTCTTGGAGATCTAGGGCCAGTATCACGAAGGCAGCCCCTGGTGGAGAGTCTACAGACAGGTGGTTGGGGCGGGGGCGGGGGGGCTCCCCCAGTGGAAAGGGTCACAGGGGTATGCCAGAAGAGCTTCCAGCCCCCCCTGGGGGGAAGGCGGGGGCTTTACTGTGTTCCTATTATTTCTCAAGAAGGGCCCCTGGCAGGCTGAGTGTTTAGTTTGGTTTGAGTTTCTGCTGTGAGCCTTGATGGTGGAGGGGCCACCTGGGGTTGAGGCAAGCCTTCCTTGACTGGGGGGGTGAGTAGAGAGAGTTGGGGGACAGCCCTTCCTCCTCTCACTGCTCAGCAGAGGGTGGGGGTGGGGCAAAGTGGGTCTCAGACTCTCAGGCAGATGGAAGCAATTTTCAGTCACGTGGACTAGGCCTGAACTGCCGCACGGCAAGGCGGGGCCCCTTGTCATTCTCCAGGAAGCGGGCCCCCAAAAGCCACAGGTTCTAGGGCCAGATGCTGCACTGTCTTTGTTTATTTAAAGATGAGTGTTTCTGAGTGAGGAGCTGACACTCACGGAGCCTCGTGGAGGGGACTGTTGCCCTGACCTGAGCTGCGGATACTTCCGACGGCACCGGGCCCTAGGACCTGCCCTTGTCATTGTTTGGGGACACACATGTGTGGACCCTCTGGCAGATCCTGGTGTGTTTACAAGCATTCTCTGGTTGAGTTGCTCCCCACTGCCAGGAAGTAGAGGTGACTGCACCCTGTGGAGGCAGAGAAACAGGAAGTGACTGATCCAACCCCTGGCTGTGGGGGTGGTCCGCATGCCTCCTTCCTGAAGCCGGCTTTGCAAGCCTTTCTCTCCTTCCTTCTGTCCTGCCACTCAAGCCCAGGGGGGAAGCGCAGAGAGGAAGTGCAGGTCCGGCTTTGCTCCCGCTGGCCATGCCAATAAAATGGAGAGAAAAGCCGCAGCTCCAGAGATGGCCAGGCTGAGTTAGCTGCGGATGTGGGGGTGGGGCAAGTTAGCTTGAGTTTAGTGAAAGCACAGTTAAACTGAAGCCTACTGAAGGAAGCTGAGGTTTCCACGTTTAACCCTTAGCCTGTCCACAGACCTACTAACCAAACTGGCCTTTGCCGGAGGGTGAGGGGCACCTGGTGTCGGCCACAGTCTGGGAAGACTGCTTTGCCTCAGGACTGCGTGGGTCGGGTGACTGGGAGTAGAGGTGTTCCCGGTGAGGGGTGGCTCAGGTCCAGAAGAGGCAAATAGGGGTCCTGCCACCCCTCCCCTGTGACCTGCTTGTGATCACCTGCTGCACCGTGAAGGACCCTGGGCCCCGCAGCTACTGCAGGCTGTCTGCGCAGAGATGAAGGGCATGTAGAGGATGCCCAGGTTGGCAGAGCTGGCAGAGACAGCCCCCCCCCACCCCGAGAGGCAGGTGGCTGAGGGGCGTGGGCCTGCCGCATGGCACGATGCAGGGAACTTTAGTTACTGGGCATCCGAGAGTACGCCGCCTGCGGATCCTGTTCTAATACCCTCTCCTTCCGGCTTCCCCTCCACAGGCTCCGAAGTGGCTCCCAGCGGTGTTGGCGACATGGCTGACAGCCCTAGAGATGCCATGCTCAAGCAAGCACCCGTGTCACGGAATGAGAAGGCCCCCGTGGACTTTGGCTATGTGGGGATCGACTCCATCCTGGAGCAGATGCGCAGGAAGGCCATGAAACAGGGGTTCGAGTTCAACATCATGGTGGTTGGTGAGTGTTAAGAGGCCCTCTGCCGGCCACAAGCCCATCTTGACATTCCAGGCCCGCACAGGGGGCCAGCCTCAGCCCCAGCACTCAAGCAACTCTCAAAATGTCCTCCCCCTGTAAGGTGGGGGCACAGCTCTCACCCAGTGCCACCTGGCAAATGACAGATATGGTTGCATGTTCTATAAGGTGGAGGGACAGCTCTCACCCCATGCCACCTGGCAAATGACAGATATGGTTGCATGTGCTGGGAGAACGGACCACATCCACCAGTGACTCCAGGGGGGTTGCTACCTGTGTTGGCATCTCACTAAGCAGCTGTAAGCCCTCTGTGGCCAGTGACAACGGTCTCCAGCTCCGAGTTCTGCGGAGTGTCCCCTGGTTATTACCCCAGGCTTGGCTGGAGGCTTCCTGGAGGCACATCTAAGTTACCCACCCAGGAAGTGGGGTGTAGTAGCCACTTTGCTCCTCCTGTGGCCTTGGAGAGCTAGAAGTCACCAGCAGTAGGTGGATAATGAGTGGGACCTGGATGGGCTGTGTGCAGCAAGTGCAGAGGCCCCTCGGGCCCCACACCCCAGGTCCTCTCCTCTTGGCTGGAAGAAACAAGCCAATGTGTTTGTTTGTTTAGAGATAAGGTTTCTGTTGGAGATTTTCCAGCCCGGCTGGTCCTGCGGCCCTTGAGCCCCAAAATGAACACTCAGAGACTTATATTAATTATAACACTGTTGGCCTGTGGTGAGGGCTTCTTATTGGCCAGCTCTGTCTTAATTATTAACCCATTACTATTAATCTATGTATTCCCATGAGGTCTTGGCTTACCAGAGAACGCTTGATGTGCCCTCACTTCCCGGGCTCACATAGCAACTCTTGTCTGCCGATACTTCCCAGATTTCTCCTCCTCTGGTAGCCCTGCCTATCCTTTCTGTCACTAGCCACACTGTGTTTTATTCATCAACCAATAAGAGAAACATAGACACTGAAGGACAACCCCATCAGGTTTCACTATGTGACCAGGCTGGAACTCGCTCTGTAGACCAGGCTGGCCTTGAACTCACAGAGACCTTGCCTGCCTCTGCCTCCCGGGTGCTGGGATTAAGACATGCGCCGCCATACCTGGTCTATGATCCAGTGTTTCACTCTCGGAACAGTACTCTGGTGACTCTCCAGGGTGGTATCTGGGCACACACCTCCCATAGGTTGGACGTCCTAAACCAAGTAGAGTCTGGTGGCTTCCCCCACTGCAGGGATCTGTCTGGGGAACTGTGTCTGTGTGTCTGCTCTGTCCGGATTCACAGACAAACTACACCTGTTTTGGGGGCTGCCATCCTCTGTAGCTCTCTGGACCCGTTCCTCTGGAGTCTTGTTGTCCCTTCCTGCTTTGGGTAGCTGCTCTGGCCGAGTTAAACCATGTCCCACAGCCCCACACTGTGGCCTTAAATTCAACCCTGGATGTCTGCTTAGGAGGTGAAGCTCCAGGTGGGGTTATCTAAGGATGTGAACCCAGTTGCCACAGTGTGCTGTAGCAGTGAGCTATGCTCTTGGAGAGCCTGCTGACCGACCTCCCCTTCTCTCCCCAGGGCAGAGTGGCCTCGGGAAGTCCACCTTAATCAACACCCTCTTCAAGTCCAAAATCAGCCGGAAGTCGGTGCAGCCCACCTCGGAGGAACGTATCCCCAAGACGATCGAAATCAAGTCCATTACCCACGGTCAGTTCCATGGAAGTGGGGACTAAGGCTGGACATAGGCACCCCCTTTTCCCAGAGTGTGGGATCAAGGGCATCCCACTAGAGGGGTCACCATGACCCCTCTCGGTACATGGAGACTGTGAGTAGGAATGGTCTGGACTCCACCAGGCTGAGGCACCACCCAGACTTCATTGCTAGAGGATACTTTCTCCCTAGCATCACCCCAGCTGTCATCACAGCCCAGCGTGGGACACCTCAGGCTGGTCAGGCAGTGTGAGGACTTGGGTGACCCCTCTGATTTGGGGTGCTGTGGTTTGTGCAGATATCGAGGAAAAGGGGGTCCGGATGAAGCTGACAGTGATCGACACCCCAGGCTTCGGAGACCACATCAACAATGAGAACTGGTAGGTGACCTCGGAGAGCCCCACTGGGCTCCGGGCTCCTCTGTACCCAGATAAGATCGCTCCAAACCCTAAAGCCACTGCATTCGGGGTCTAACCATTCCAGATCAAAATGGAATCACCTGGGAGTCATGCTCTCCCACCGCAGGACAAAGATCGGCATGGGGGCGGGGTATGGGCAGAAAACTCTAAGGCTGGCTTTGCAACAGCCAACCATTCCTGGATGAAGTCAGAAGGCTGGGTGTCGGCTCCGGGGAATTAGCCTGCCGTGGAGGCTTGGGGGCTTAGAGAGGGCACGCCCCCGGCGTGGGCAGGAGGGGCCGCGGGAACTGGCTAACCCGGATCTCCGTGCAGCTGGCAGCCTATTATGAAGTTCATCAACGACCAGTACGAGAAGTACCTGCAGGAGGAGGTCAACATCAACAGGAAGAAACGCATACCCGACACCCGCGTCCACTGCTGCCTCTACTTCATCCCGGCCACCGGCCACTCGTAAGTCCCGTTCGCGGCCCTTTGTCTTGATGGTGGGAGTCCCCGTTTGCAACGCCGGTGGGGCTGTGCGCAGGATTCCCGTCTGCCCAGCCACTGGGTGGGGGGTTGGTGGTGGTGCCGGGGGCAAAGCGGGACACGGCACTGAGTTAGGGCCGTGTCAACACGCGGCCCTTTGTCTTGATGGTGGGAGTCCCCGTTTGCAATGCTGGTGGAGCTGCGCACAGGATTCCCGTCTGCCCAGCCACTGAGCACGGGGGTGGGGCTGGAGGGTTGGTGATGGTACCAGGCGGGGGTGGGGGTGGGCAAAGCGGGACTCGGCACTGAGTCAGGACCCTGTCAGCTGTGCCTCCTGGCCACAGCTACTGGAGTGTGCACACACTAGGCTGTTCCAGGCTCATCCTGGATGTAAGAGCCTAGGCTTTGAGGAGGGGACCTCGCATATTGCCATGGTATAAGGCTCAGTGGGGTCTGCTTGGAAAAAAATCCAAATATGGGTTTCTGAGCTTGCCAGTGGTGACCGTCTCCCGTGGGGTTAACAAGAGCCCATTCATAGCGGGAGGGGGCATAAGACCTCCTTACCTCGGGGCTGGTTCATTTGGGGGTTCTGCAGCTACCCCAGCACCTCCTGGGGCAGGGCCAAGCCAGCCAAGCCAGCAGGAGACAGGACTGACATGGCTTCAGGGGGGGGAGAGCGGAGGGTCTTCCCCAGTGGTGATGCTCTGGGCTAGGGTCCCAGCTGGGCACCTTGCCGAGTTTCTGTCCCCTGACCGTTAGTTCCGGGGGACAGCAGTGGCTTCTGGCTATTCTTGCTCAGACTTCTGCCTGTAGCCTCACTTCCCACAGGCTGTCTGGGCCTGACAATACCACTGTGGAGAAACTCGGTTTCAGCAGGAAAGTGGTGCCCACGCATGGGCTCTGCCAGCCTCCTCCCTGCAGCCTCCTCCCTGCAGCCTCCTCCCTGCTCCCTGTGTCAGACCCGGGCTCCCTGGAGCCATGCTGGCCTATCCCAGGGCCCAGGGCTTCTCTCTGACACTGGAAGCCCCAAGGCATGACAGTGACGTGAGCCGAGCCACTCTTTGGACAGTATCCAGGGCCTTGCTGGCCTCTGACAGCTGTGGGTGAGGCTCACTCCGGCTCTCCCACCTTGACTCAATGGAGGGAGCATCACCCTGCACCCTTCCAAGCCCCAGCCTTGCCCCTCTGCCAACACAACATGGCCTCCGCTATGAGGCAGGGGGACCCGAGGCTGAGTTTCATTCGCACTGCTCCATTTCAGGCTTAGGCCCCTGGACATTGAATTCATGAAGCGCCTGAGCAAGGTGGTCAACATTGTCCCCGTCATCGCCAAGGCTGACACGCTCACCCTGGAGGAGAGGGTTTACTTCAAACAACGGGTAGGACATACAGCCTCAACCCAGCCCTCTCTCCCTCGAGGACTGCCTGGACGAGTTACGGGGCTGACAGGGGCCCATTCAGCCCCGGGGATACATGACAGGAGAGTCACCCTTCAGCCCTTCACAGCTTGTGTCCAGTTTGGGGTGGGCGGGCTGGCCTGGGTGGCTGCTGGGTACGCCCCCCATTTCGAGCAGCCTCAGGTTTTGGAGTAGACAAAGCAGAGGCAAATGGCTCAGGGCCATCGGACGCAGGGCACCTGAGTTTTATTACATGGGAAAGAAAACCAAAAGGACCAGTCTGCCTCAGTGACTAACTCCTTCTCTGCCATATGGTTGAGGCCATTGCTGGCTGGTGACAGGGGTATCCCTGTGGGCATTTTCAGAAGGATGAATCCTTTACCTCTTCTGAACAAGGCCATACTTCAGAACCTCCTGGGAGCTCCAGCCTGGGGTTGAGAGGCCCCAAATCCAATTCCAGAGGCTCCCAGACCATGTGTCAGGGATTTTTCCAGCATGCATAGGGAAGGGTAGTCAGGGGTGAATCTGCTCGAGACCAGAAGGCTCTCTCCAGTGTTGAGAGCCTGGAGCTGCTTGCGCAAATGAGACAGCTGTCCCTGGGCTGTCCTGCTTCGACTGTCAACTACCTGGGCTGTCATCAGGGTGAGAAGCATTTCATCAGGCAGGTACCCGGAACCGTAGGAGGGAACCACGCTAGCCCTTAGCAGCCCCGAGGTATTTGTGTGTGTGAGGGGTAGCCATGAGCTGCACAGGAAACGGGGAGATTCTCAGGACAGTGGTTGCAGGGCCCCTCAGGCCAGGTGAGCCCCTTCTTGATGCAGAGGCGCCAGAACTGGAGGTTCTGGGTGGGGTGTAGCTCAGTTGGTCGAGTGTTTGCCTGGCATGCACAAGGCTCAGGGTTTGGTCTTCAGTGCCACAAGAAACCGGGCGTGGTGGCACATACCTGTAATGCCAGCACTTGGGAAGTAGAGGCAGGAGGATCAGGAGTTCAAGGTCATCCTTGGTTACATAGCCAGTCGGAGGCCAGTCTGAGCTAGAAACTTTGTCTCCCTAAAGGGTGGGGGTGGAGCGGTGGCTTGGGGGTTAAGAGCACTGGCTGCTCTTGCCAAGGACCCAGGCAATTCAGCGTGCCCTCTTCTGGACTCTGTAGGCTCTAGGCATCCATATGGTACACATGCGGGCAAAACACTAGTATACATAAAATAAAAATAAAATGAATATTTTTTTAAAGATGTATTATGTATACAACATTCTGCCCCCATGTCTGCCTGCACACCAAAAGAGGGCACCAGATCTCATTACAGATGGTTGTGAGCCACCATGTGGTTGCTGAGAATTGAACTCAGGACCTCTAGAAGAGCAATCAGTCCTCTCTTAACCTCTGAGCCATCTCTCCAGCTCCTAAAATGAATATTTAAAAAAAATATTAGACATTCTCTGGGCAGGGCCACCCAGAGCCTGCCTGTGTAGGGGTTCCTGGTTCGGGCACCTTGTGGCTGATAGCCTGATTCAAGGACCACACCTCTGTGCCTCCCAGATTACTGCAGACCTACTGTCCAATGGCATTGATGTGTACCCCCAGAAGGAGTTTGATGAGGACTCAGAGGATCGAATGGTGAATGAGAAGTTCCGGGTGAGCGCATTGGCCAGACGCTGGGCGGGTGAGGGGGGCAGCGTTGGGATAGCTTTAAGCCATGGGGTGTGTCCTCCAAAATGGAAAATGATGGGGGTCCCCATGACCACCTCTGGTCCCTCTCAAGCCAAGGCCTGCAGGTTTCCAGGTCCAAGGCCCAGGAGCACCTGTGGTTAACTCTTCCGTCCCCCTTTCCAGGAGATGATCCCGTTTGCTGTGGTGGGCAGCGACCATGAGTATCAAGTCAATGGCAAGAGGATTCTGGGAAGGAAGACGAAATGGGGCACCATTGAAGGTACGGGCCGCTGCACCGCGGTATGGCGTGTTGACCTGTAGTTGAGCTTGGGCCCTCGTCCGTTGCACTGTGGGTCCCTGTTTCATCTCTTTTTGTATAAGGGCAATGGCTGTGGGGTGCACCTGAGCTCCTTGAACTTAATTACTCTGTCATAGACTGAGTTACTTTGTCCCAGGCGCTGAGGGCTGGGACTGTGGTCTTCCCTGGGGTCCAGGTCAGCACCCAGGTGGGATGGTCCCAGGGCCTTGATGCTCTTCCATCCTCGTTAGATGGGAAAGGACAAAGCTGCCGGAAGATGAAAACCGTTTTGTTTCTCATGAGCAGCGTGGTCCGAAGGCCCCGCAGAGGAGCAGAGAGTTGAGGCTGTGAGCTGGGGTGAGCCCCAGTCTGTACCCGTCATCAACCAGGGCTACATCCTAAGGTCTAGGCAATGTGAGATTGTTCCAGATGGATAGAGCTGTTCTTCAGTTGTAGGGTGATCTGGAACTCAAGTCCTTCTTGCCTTGGCCTCCTGAGTGATGGGGTTATAGACATACACACCACACCAGTGCCCGGGTTACAGACATACACACCACACCAGTGCCCGGGTTACAGACATACACGCCACACCAGTGCCGGGGTTATAGACATACACGCCACACCAGTGCCCGGGTTACAGACATACACGCCATACCAGGCCTGCTGGAGCTCTTTAAGGAGCCATTTCTCTAAGACTCTGATGATGGTGTTTCCTGGCTCTGAGCACAGAGGCCTCCAGCTCGGCACCTCCCCCTTTAGTGGGTTACCGTTTAACCCTTTCAGCTCCCTGGGACCCTTTACTCATCCTCTCTGCAGAGAGGAGTCCGAGCAGCGTTTTCTCAGCCTTCCTGGCGCTGTGACCCTTAAATACAGGTCCTCACGTTGCGCTGACCACCCCAACCATAAAATTATTTTCACTGCTACCTCATAGCTATAATTTTGCTACTACTATGAACCGTAAGGTAAACATCTGTGTTTCCCGGCGGTCTTATGTGACCCCCGTGAAAGGGTCAGTTTGACCCTGCAAAGGGTTTTGACCCACAGGCTGAGAACCGCTGAAGTTAGAGGGACAAACTCCATAGGGTGCCTGGCCCTGACCGAGTTAATGCTGTGTGGTCTCTACCACATCAGCCGGGTTTGCTGGTCCCCATGTGTGATCTTAGCATTTGAGAAGTGGAGGCAGGAGGATGGGGGATTGAACATCACCTGTCCCTCCTACGGCAAGGGAGGGAAATCCCCGTGTGAGGACAGCCAATGAGCAGCCAGGCTGGGGGTGACTTGGGGGCTCCCCATGCCACCTTGCCTGCTCGAGGCCCCTGGAGTTAGGAGTTGTTAGCTGGTCTTTCTGGATTAAGCATGGAAGAGGACCTGTCTGCCATCCCCCCCCCCCGTTCCTTCCCCGCTGTACCCTCCACGTGGGTCTGCCCAGTGGGGCACCATGGGGATATATGTGCTCCAGGTGTTTCAGGTACCCGTGGCTTTCTGTAGCACCCCGCTCCGTGGCAGACGATGACCTTAGGGCTACTCAGAAGCCATTCTCTCAAAAGCTCAGCTTCGTTTTCCTCAGCCCCTTCCTGTCTCTGCACATCCTCTCTGCATCTCTCCCCATATATGCAAGGCATGGTTGGAGTGAGGAAAGCATGGGGTAGGGGCCCCGGGTGTGGGGGTGGGGGAATCTGAGAATGGCATTGGCTATTGGTGTGTCTTGTCTGACCCCTGGTGGTTACCCTGGGTACTGCACACACTCAGTGAGAAATTGCCAGGAAGTTAAGCGGGTTAGAGAGACTTGCTCCTAGCTGAGGGTCCACACAGCCTGTGTGAACCTGTAAAGGTACTCCCCGCCCCCCCCCGGGGCTATGGTTCCCATATCCAGCAGCCGCCTTCTGGGGACCCTGGGGATAGGAACATGGTGGGAGTTCCTATCAGGGACACACGCGTGCACGCAGCATACACACACACATACGTGTGAACAAACCCCATCCAACTGTGCCCACTCCTTCCCTCCTCCGTGGTTTGCACCATCTGAAGTGCCTGTTCCATCTTGGGAGCTGGCCAGAGCTCTGCCTGAGGATGGGAAGCTGCTTTGTTCCTTGAACATAAGTAGTGGAAAGTCTCACAAAGTCCAGCAGTGCCGTGGGCTCATTTGGTCCCTATGCCATTCTCCCCCTGAAATGTCTTTTTACATTTATCTTACTGGGGGAAGACAGGGTATACATGTGGTAGTCAGAGGCCAACTTGCAAGAGTCGGTTCTCTCTTTCTTCCATGTGGTTCTGGGACTCGAACTCGGGCGAAAGTGCCCTTATCCACCGAGCCATTGGCCCATTTTATTGGGAAACTGAGTCAGAGAAGTCAAGATTCACCCAAGCCTGGAGTGTAAGGAATGAGGGGTTTACTTTGGCTCGCAGTTCTGGGGTACAGTCCACCGTGGCGGGGAGTCATGGTAGCATGACAAGAGACACTCGGTCACATGGCACCCACAGTCAGGAAGCAGAGAGAGATAAGGAAAGCCCCAGCCCACGGGATGCTGCTGCCCGCACTCGGCGTAGCTCCTCTCCCAGCTGAACCTCTCTGGATGCACCCACGACGTCATTGACACTCTCTAGGATAATGTGTCTCCCGGGTGACTCCAAAACTAGTTGAGTAGCTGTCAATCACCTGCCCGCTGTGGGTGGGGCTCTCTGGGAGCTGTTGGCGTTGCTGGATAGGAGAGCAGGAGAGCAGGGGCTTCCTTCTCACCGGACATTGAGCGTCCTCTCTCTTCCCGCAGTTGAGAACACCACTCACTGTGAATTTGCCTACCTGCGGGATCTCCTCATTAGGTAAGTCAGCCACTGGCTCTGAGGGCTCCCTGGGAAGGCCTGACCTGGGGTTTGGTGATGGGAGATGGGTGGGCAGGGGCTCCACCCTGCTCACAGCTGCCTGGTGTCAGCCCTGCCCTCGGGAACCCATTGTCTAAAGCTGAAAACAAAACCATTGGGAATGAATGAAGAAGCGGGAATTCTTTCTAACCTTATGAAGTCGCCAGGATGAGAGGGGCTGAATTTTGGTCCCCACCATGGTCGTCTGAGCCTGCTAAATTCAGCTATCACCGTTAAGGGGACAGCCTGGGCTATATGTCTCAAAACAAACAAAAGAAAAATATCACAATGAAACTATTATTTTGTGTAATGAAAATATATTAAGAGGAAAAAAAGACACGGGGCAAGGGACCTGGGGTGGAGCTTCCAAGAACAAACCTTACCACTTTTGGACTCTTCCCCCCTTCCGACTTCCCTTTCCAAAGTAAAGGGAAGTAGCAGTGTGCTGTGTGGGTCAGTGGTACAGCTTCCCTGGCAGGCTTAAGGCCTGGCACCCACCTTCAAAAAAAAAACTAGGAGAAAAAAAAAGCTCTGGAGGGATGGCAGGGTGGACAGCTCTAGGGACTGTGGTCACCTGCTGCCTCCTGCTGGCCACAGCCTGAACTTCTATCTTGCAGCACGAACACCCCAGTGCTGCCCCCTAGTGGGATCTTTGGGACCTTTCAAGTTTTGTGTTTTTAGTGCTCACTACTCCATCCTCGTGCTGGCCCCTGACTTGCCACAGTGTGGACACAGAGAGAAGGGAGTATGGGCTAGAATGTGTGGCTACGGAGGGCTGACTCAATGCCAGGAGGGAGGGGCAGGTGGTTGTGACCCCAGGTAGGCTAGGTGGTCACCCCGTGCTGGCTGCATTCCCTGCAGGACACACATGCAGAACATCAAAGACATCACTAGCAGCATCCACTTTGAAGCCTACCGTGTGAAACGCCTCAACGAGGGCAACAGCGCCATGGCCAACGGGGTTGAGGAGAAGGAGCCAGAAGCCCAGGAGATGTAGACGCTATCCCGCCCCTGGACCCCACCCTCAAATCCCCCGGCCCACCCACCTACCCCGTCTTATTTTATATAATTGTCTCCATTTGTCACCCGCCTCCTTCCCTTTCCACACTCTGTCCAGTAACAAGAGAGGGCTTATCTTCCAAGTGTGCTCTTATTGGCTGCAGCTGCTGGGTGGGCGGGGCTACAACCTGGGCTTGTCTCTTGTGTCCTGTTCCCTCCCCTTGCTGGGGAGGTTAGACCAGGCTCAGTCCCTCCTGAAGGGTTAGAAGAGCTGTGTGTCCATGCCCGCTCTTGAGTTTTGAGCTGAAGCCTGTAGGGACCGAATCCTAGGGGTTGCAGAGGAGCCCCTTAAGCCACAAGTTCCCATGGCCACAGCCTCAAAAGCAGGCTGTACCCAGGGGAGGATGGAGCTGGCCAGGTAGTCCTGGATCCCCACCTGTCCCCCCACGAGCTAGCATGGGTTATTGGTCACAACGCCCTCAGCTGCCCGCTCCCCAAGGAAGCAAAAGACTTCCACAAGCAACGTTGCCAATCACCTAGACATAGTGACAACCACGCCCCTTCTCCCTCTAGCTTGTCCCAGAGCAGAAAGTGCCTTGATCCACAAGAGCCAGGCCCCTCTTCCCAGATGCCCCTCTGGAGGAAATGCAGGGAAGCGCTGGAGAGAAGTCGTCTCTTCTCCCTCCTCGGCATCTCCTTCCCCCGTGCTGTAGACTCTGCTACTGCACAGGGCTCTAACTATGAAAACAAAGCACGAAAGACGTTCCCACCCCCACTCCCAGCTTTAGAAAGGTCCGAGCAAACTCGTGGAGCTGAGAGACAGAACTGAGGGGAAGGAAGGCAGAAACGTGCATGGGAGCTGTTCTGCCGGCAGGTGCCTGGGGAAAGTATCTGTCTGGTCCTGGGTTTGGCTGGATTTGCTCTGGCTACATTGTTGCCCAGTTGCCTCACCCCACCCCACCCCCACACAATACTGCTCAGGCTCAAGCCTTGATTCAGTGACTGCGCTGGGTGGGAGCCAGGAAAACCCGACCACTTGGCTGTCTCCATGCGCCTAGACCGCTGTGTCCCAGAACGCATCATAACCCGCCAAGGACGTCAGAGATGGATAGCCAGACCACAGGGCAAAGGTTTCATAGCAGGGCCAGACTCCCTCGTCTTCTCTCAGAGAAGTGTTAGGGACCATCCATGCACCGCTGACCAAAGCCATGCCCGTTCTGCTTTCTTGTCCTGTCTCTGGGAGGAATTTGGTGAGTGTAGACAGGTTGGACCGGCTTGGGGAAGGTGCCGCTACAGACCCTGGGCTAGCTTGCAGCCTGCAAGTGGGGTGGGAGGGATGGGGTGCTCATGGGTCCCTGTTTTGGGTGTCTACTCCCCCACCCAGGCGTGGGAGGCCCCTCATCGAGCCCTGTAGCCGAACAGTACGCTTGCCAGCTTGCCAAGTTCTTTTGCCAAAAATCAGGACTTTGAAGGAAATCTTCAGCATGCTGGACCCCAGGCACCTCAGCCTTCCCCAGCCCCAGTGTCCCTGGGGACTTAGCAACAGCCCAGTGTCGTCAATCAGGATGACACCGTGCCTCTGTAACCAGCCACGGAAAACTGTTCTTCTCACCAGGCTGTTCCACACGGCCTTTCCCTGGGGGTCTCCTCGGGGTTGGGGGTGTCTCTTTTTGTATAAATAACAAAGTGTCGAAATGTATTTCCTGAAATAAATGTTTCAAATACAAACTGGCCCATTCTGGAATGGCAGTGGGTTCTCTGGCCTTGGATTTGTCTTGGGGGGCTCTCTGTGGGACCCTGAATTCAAACTTGCAGGACCACTGGCTCAAGTGCTCTTCCGGATGACTCAGTTAACAGACCCATTCATTCAGGTGGTTCGTAACCACCTGTAATGCAGCTCCAGGGGGATTTGGTGCCCTCTTCTGGCCTCTGATGGTACCTGTACACACATATACACGTGTATATACTAATAAATGTTACTGTGCCAGGCCCTGTGAGCAATCGTGTTATTAGAAGAGAACTAAACCACACATGGTTCCAGGGGCCTGGCAGAGCCAACTGCGATGGGAAGGGGGAGGAGCCTGATGTGTGCTTTAATGGCCTACGGCTCCTGTGACAAGTGACCACAAGCCAGGTTCCCTACAACAACAGAAGTCTACATTCCCATAGTCCTGGAAGCCCCAGACCAAGTGTTGGCATGACCCTGCTCCATCCAGAGTCCCAAGGAGAGAGCCCTCTGCCTCTCCCTGCTCCTAGAGACGGCATTGCTCCAGGGTCCGCCTCTGTCTTCACACACCCTTTCCTGTATGTTCTTGAGAGATGCTGTCCGTGGGTGTAGGGGGCCACGTCGACCCAGGATAATCTCATCTTGATCTTTAACTACATTCCCAAAGATCCTGTTTCCAAACTGGGCTTTAGTCTAAGGTTCTGCGCAGGTGGGAATTTGCTCTTACCACCTCACTACACCCCCTTCCTGCATCTTGGGGTTCCCAGAGCTACATGGGCCACGTGATAAGAACCCAAGACTCTCTCTTGCCGCCACCACGCCTGGTCGTCTAAGGAGTGACTCCACCTCTCTGAAGGCCACCTGGCGACAAATGGACTTCAGTGACAAGTGAGCTGACGGTCAGTGGCCTCGTGGGTTCTTTCCGTCAAGGATCCTGAGTTGTGGGTTCGGCTGCCGATGGCACTGGCGGGATGGGAAGGTCAGGTCCATGGAGCCAGCTTGTCTGAGTCCCCCAGTTTTAAGGCCTTTGGCAGGAATCCCCCCAGCCCCTTGAATTTCTCCTTCCAAAAGGCTGAACCTCTGTTCCCATGTTTATCCCCATTGTCTGTCTCCCAACTACAGACAGACCTACAGACAAACGTCAATTCATTAACCTGACCGGTCACCAGCCCAAGTCACGTGTGCCTCCCAGCTAATGACCGGGGGACCCCACCTCCTCACACGGGCAGACACTCCATGTAGGACCAGAGTGGCCAGTCATTCCCATCTGCCCAGGAGCCCGGGCTGTCTTGTACCTCCTAGATAGTAATGTGAGAACCCTCACCTCCTGCCAACAAACAGCCCGCAAGCCCCGGCGATCATGCGTCCACCCAACAGCACTGGGGTTACAGGCATGCATGGCTGTACCAAAAGGAAAAAATCAAAACTGCAGTGTAGATCCCCATGCTCATTCGACACTAGCTCTTCCCCACGTCTCCCCGGCCCCGAATGTGGCCGTTCCGTGAACTAGAACTAGAGGGGGAGGGGAGGATGGACAAGGTGGCTTCGTGGCGCGGGACCCCATGCCATGGACCTTCCTCCTGCCTATCCGGCCCCAGCCTCGCACTTAGCACAAACGGTTCCCGCAGCAGTGGCGTGGTCCTGGGTGGACTGTCACCAAGGCTCAACCCAGGAGCAGGAAGGCCCTGCAGCAGACTCTGTTCATACTGACTCAGCTTCTGTGAGGATCGGGGTGTCCCTGTGGGTCTACAAATGCCAGGTGCCCCTCTCCCTGGCCCAGGCCTCAGGCTTTGAGGACAGGAAACAGGAGGAAAACTCTGGGAGTCACAGGAGTGAGACCTACCCAGTACCCCTGGACCAGGCTGGGAAAGCCCGAGGAGCCCACTCAGAGCAGGCCCTGTTTGGGTTTTTATTTGTGAGTATCGTGTGTGTGTGTGTGTGTGTGTGTGTGTGTGTGTGTGTGTACATACGTGTGTTACTGTGCATACATGTATGTGGGTGTGGGTGTCTGCATCTGTGTGCATGTGGAGGCCAGAGGCCAGCCTTGGTTGTTTTTAGGGTTAATAGGGACAGGGGCTCTCATTAGCTTGGTGCATCCAAGCACATGGGTTTGTCTGTGTGACCAGTGAGCCCACTGGATCTGCCAGTTTTTGCCTCCCCAGTGCCGAGGTTAAGTACTTGCCTCCACGATGGGCTTAACTGGTTCTGAGGATCCAAGAGCAGGCCCTACTGCTTGCATAACAAGCATCTTAACAACCGAGCTGGCCTCTCCCTCTCTCCTCTCTCTGTCTTTCTTTCTCTCTGTCTCTCTGTCTGTCTCTGTCTCTGTCTCTGTCTCTGTCTATATATATATATATATATATATATATATATATATATATATATATATAATTTGTTTATCTGTGAACCGGACATGTGCCAGAGGAGGGTGTGGGATCCCTTAGGACTGGGGTTACGGACCACCATGTGGGTGCTAGAAACTGGACCTCAGTCCTCTGGAAGAGCAGCCAGTGCTCTTAACCACTGAACCATATCTCCAGGCTTCCACTCATTTCTAAACACCACTTTCTGGCTACAAGTACAGCCTTCAATATGGAAATTGCCAGAAAAAAATTTACACAACAGAGAAAATATCTCCATTCACATCCAGTGATACTGCCTAGCTCCAATGCTGGAACATGGTCTCAGACTCTAGCAAAGTCTTGAGAAGCTGAGGCAAGAGTATCAGGAGTTTGAGGCCACCACGGTTCCCAACTCCTGGCCAAGTCTCTAGGTCTTCTGCCACTGGGGTGTCCCCCTATGGTGCTCCTCTATGCCTCCCCCCTCGCCTCTGGGAAGGAGGGGCAGGGAGAGGAATCTTCTGCCCTGTCGTCATCCCCCTATGCCCCACCCCCACACTGCCCCATGCAGTCCTTTGGGAAGCAGCGTAGGACTGAGGTGCATTTCCTGAGTCTGAATAGAAATATTTTCCAGATCCTCCGCAGCCCGGAGCACAGGGGGAGGGGCCTGTCAGAGCACAGGGTGGTCTCTGGCTATCCAGCGTCCAGCCTCCAATTGCAGAGCCCCAGGATCGTAGGTCTGGGCCACGGTTTCTGCTCTTACTTTTCCCATGGTGGCCCCCCGGGATTGGAGACCTGGCAGGGAGGCGGGGTGGAGAGCGGTTCTGCAGACCCGCTTGGCCCGCTGGCCGTCAAGGCAGACCACCCTCCGCACCAGAGCTCTCCGAGGGCTCCTGACGGGTGCAGAGTGACTACCACCTTGTGTAGGTGTGGTGCCCGCCAGAATCCCTCACGAGGGGTGGGGCTCTGCTACCGGGAACAGCCAGCAGCGACTGCCAGTCAACATCTTTATGAGTAGGAGTTAGGAAACAGAAATAGCTAGGTTGTGGTGGCACACGCTTTGAACCCAGGACTCCGAAAGGCAGAGGCAGGCGGATCTCTGCGAGTCTGAGGCCAGCCTGGTCTACACAGTGAGTTCCGGGACAGCCAGGGCTACACAGAGAAACCCTGTCTCGAAAAACAAAACAAAACAAAAAAACCCAAATAAATAAAAAAATTAAAAGTGTGTGTGTGTGTGTTGCATGTGTGCATGCGAGTGTTGGACGCATGTGCTCATGGGTGCACACGGGGAGAGGTCAGAGCAGGGTACTGAGCACGTCTTCCTTACTGCCTTGTGACGGTTTCTCACTGAAGTAAGGAGCTGGCCACTTTGATTCGGCTGGCGGGTCAGGGAACTGTCACGGTCTTCTTGTCTCTGCACCCAGAAGTCCAAGCAGGGAGTCTCTCTAGAGTGAGAGACAGGGGAGGCTCCCACGCGGGTTCCCTCCTTCCTCCTGACTGTTTGGATGTGAAACATCCCTCACAGGCTCATGCGTTTCGACACTTGCTCTCCAGAAGGTGGCGCTGTTCTGGGAGGTTATGGAGCCTTTGGATGTGGAGATGAAGGTTAAAGGCCGACTCTTCTTCCTGCCGGAGTCTCCTGATCTATAGCGACATGAGGAAGCTGCACACACGCACCCAGCCCCCACCCTGGCAGGCGTCAGGCCTTCCTGCCACCGTGGGCGACAGCTTCACCATCTATGAGCCATAAAAAACGCTCTTCCCTAGGTTGCTTCTATCAGGTGTTTGGTGGCAAAGATAAAAATAGCTAATTCATTGTCCTCCCTTTGCTCCTATCCCGTTGCCACTTTTCTGGCTTAGGGATAGCCGGAGCCTCCTGCTCGGTTGACAGTGAGGCGCAGTGGTTAGTCCTCCTGCCAGCTGGGCTGGGAACCACCTCGGAGGCACGCCTCTGACAGTGTTTGTAAGCACATTTCCAGGCCGCAGGACGCACAACCCCATGGACCGGGGCTCTTGAATGAATAAAGAAAGCAAAGGGAAGCTCTCCAAGGACCAGCAGCCATCTCTGTCCTTCCTGGCTGTGAACACCGTGTGACCCGGGTTCCTTCCACCCTGATGGACGGTAACCCCTCAAAACTGAGCTGAAGCAAACCTTTACTTATTGCATTTATTGCCACAGCAAGGAGGGCTGAGGCACAAAGCCGCGTTCCCATGTAGACTCAACTGTGCAGCCTCAAGCTCGGGTCCACATAAGGAAGAATTCCTGGAGGCCAGAGTTGGAGCCGGGCCAGTGGACAGAGGGGCTGAGAACACATGGTCCTCAGTAGTGCCCGAGGGTCCATCCATTCTATGTCAGTGTGACTCAGTGTGGCCCTGGAGAGGCCGTGGATCCTGTGGGACCGGGATGGGTGTGGCCTTGGGCAAGCTCTGTCCTTTCAATAGGGACAGTGGTCACTTAGGGAGTCTTTGATGCTGGAGAACAAGGCAGGAAGGAAGCCCGTGTTTCATAATAGTGATAAAATGTCCAAGAAAAGCAGCTTCAAGGAGGAAAGATGTGTTTGGGCTCGCAGCCTAGAGGTGTCGATCCAAGCACAGCCTAGAAGTATCACAGCCTAAAGGTGTGCACTGTCGGCTTCTGAGCTCATTGGCAAGGCGTAAACTCA